AAAAAAAAAAAAAAAGGGTGCATCTGCGCCCCATCACAGACACCCCCCCAACCCCAGCACCCCCCCACCAATACCAAAATTTTATTGCAGATTCAGGGTCCTCTCCCCGAGCGCAGAACAACACCGGTTTCAAAAAAAAATAATATTTCTGGGCGTTTTTTTGTCCCGCCCGGTTTACCCGGGCAGCCCACCCCCGGGCCCAACCAGCCGGACCCAGCCCGGCCAGGCGGTGTCCTCACTCAGCAGTTTATATTATTATATATCCATGTGCTGGCAGAAGATACATTCCAATATCCCGTCATCTGGTGACTAATAGCAAGGTCCAGGTGAGTTCAAACAGCAAGAAATTTCACTCTGATCCACGCACGCAGCTAGCCATTTGTGCGCCCAGGTTCGAGAGCTCATCGGCAAGACCTTGATGCGCTCCATTAGAGTGATCCCGGTGCACTGAAGAAGAAAGAATATGAAGTACTTTCTTCCCATGTTCCTGCTGAAGACTCGTTCTCATTACCCTCATCCGGTGAGTAGACGCATCAGGCTCGCAGCACGCAGTCTTTCAATGTTCTAGCTAGAGACTCAGTCGTTATCAGGGGCCTGATTTAGAGGAGCAGCGCTGCACTGTCCATCAGCTAGCTCACCATGCGCTCCATTAGAGTGATCCCGGTGCACTGAAGAAGAAAGAATATGAGAATATGAAGTACTTTCTTCCCATGTTCCCGCTGAAGACTCGTTCTCATTACCCTCATCCGGTGAGTAGACGCATCGGGTCCGCAGCACGCAGTCTTCGAATGTTATAGCTAGAGACTCAGTCGTTATCAGGGGCCTGATTCAGAGGAGCAGCGCTGCACTGTCCATGAGCTAGCTCACCATAGACAGACACACACGCGCACGCACACATACGGGGGTGGGGGGTTATACACATCTAGATGTGTATAAGAGACAGGTTGGACACCGGTTACATCTAGACTCGGTTATCTCCGACATTGGTGACCTTTTGTCCTCGACATTTTGATCTTGTTCGATGACATTTTGGA